GAAAAGTTACTTTTGTTGTTGTTTCTGTTAACAGCAGTTAACAGGAAGAAACTAACTGATAAAAGTTGCTTTCTTCAGTGGAGAGGATCCAGTGAATGTTAGTTCTTCTCGTCCAGGGTTGGGGAACCATGGCCCTTTTATGACTCTTATGACAGGAATTCTGGGAGTTCAAGTCCACAAGTCATAAAAGGGCCATGATTCCCCACCTCTGCTCTAGTCAATGGAAGGACATCACCATGTTTGAAAGGTTCATTCTGGTTATAAGCCATAGAAATTTTAACTGAGAAATATTAGATCTTTTGAAAGCCATATTCATCTACATTTAAACATAACAGAAAGTAACTGTAGCCTTGACCTACATAAGGCCTTCAGACATCTTCTCAATTCTCTTGCCTAAACCAAGTTTGAGATTTCATTGAATAACTAACTTCAAAAGGAAGGTTGTCAGTCAATTTTTCAGAGTGATGTACCATAAAGAGCATTTCTATCTGTCTTAGAGAAAGATCAAAAGAATACATCCTACTCTCTGCAATGATACAATCTTTTAATAACCAAAGCTACAAAGCATTCTACAATTTGTTGCAATTCTAAATCTACATTTTAGCAGTCAAGTAATGCCTTGGCTTTATGGAATGCACCACATTCAGAAGCCTCAGCATAAGCAACTGAGAGCACATTCAACATTTTAGCAGATGCCAATTATTGTTTCTACCCAAATATCAGGATATCAGTCTTTATTCTTTTGCAATCCAAAAAAATGAGGATTGACAAAAATATTAGATAGGAAAACATAAGAATAATTGCTTGTTCTATATTGCAACATTCAAACATGAAGTTTGGAGAGATTATTTGTTTATCTTCATTTCTTGGCCACTGTGCCCCCCCTCTCCCTCTCTCTCCCCACCCCCCTTGCACACAATTTTTATTTTATATGCTGTTAGTCATTTTTTTTGCTAGTGCTAACATTCTATATCTATTAGGTTCACAAATTGTCAATATTTGCAGATATTTATACTTGCAAATTTGAATATATCTGTTTTAAACAATTATCTCTATTTAAAAGTAATTTTGATTTTTTCAGTATAGTTTCAACATACATTTAATTACTGCAAAAACTGTCTGATTTTAATAAAATTAGAATAATCCCTATTATTTAATAACCAAAACATAATCTGGCATGTATTAAATGATGAACATTTTATTTATTGTACATTGCCATGTGAAGAACATGGAAAAAATCTTGTGGATGATGTTTTGGTGGTAGGTAAAACATTACAAGATTTTGGTAATATACTGCAGAACATTTGTGTATCATGTTATGTTTTAGTAACTGGTGCTAACAGTTTTGACATCACAAATCACTTGTCTGGTGACATGGGAATGCTAGTTCCAAGCTTCCTCTCTACAACCAGAAAAGAAGGAAAGAAAAAATCTCAATCAAACTCCTAAGCCTTTTACTTAAAAATTGGTACCCCGTCTTCAATCAAATCCATCAACATGAATTAAAATAATAAAGTCTACCAACACACATTATTAACAAAATCATATAAAACAATAACAAACATCAATTACAAAAGAAAGGTATATTTTCAACTGGTTCTTTTTCTCAAAAAGCCAATTTATTTTTTTTAATAAGATATTTAGCTAGATGCCTGAGATGCATTTGACTGAGGCTGCAAATATGCCATTCTGACTGGATTCTAGCAATCTGTTGCAAATGAACAAATTAGATATAGTTCCCACCTTTTCTGAATGCCAAGGATGCAAATCCCAAGATAAGGGAGATACCAATTTGGAATTTTGCTGCTGTGCAATACCATTCCAAAACAGTCCAAATGTAATAGTGCATGTCAGGTGATTTTTATGCTTCACTTTATGAAGCGGTCTTTGTCTTCCAATATCATTTCTCACTCTCTTTGGGCTATTGTTACACCCTTGGCTGAGTCCTCTTCAGTCTGATTTCACTAATAGAAACAGTCCAAGTAGCAAGTACATAAGTCACGATGAAGTTGAGGTTTCTGAGAAGGCTTTGTGATAGGGGTCAGATCCAGGGCTTATTCATGGTCTGAATGGCATTTGAATAAATCTTTAAATAGGTGCACACAATACTGAACTGGTCTAATCTGCAGCTCAGGGCTACTCTGTCTGTTACAGACTTTTCTATGCATCAGGCTCTTTATTTAGCCTACTGGTTTTCTAGCTCTCAGTGATATTTCCATCGACTGAATAGATGGGCTTTCTTCTCATAGGCAAGTCACCTGGCAGGAGCAATGGGATCTGATGCTCCCCCTCAATGACTGCTTGGGATTCAGCTTTCTCTGGGTTCTTCATCCTGGTCTTCCTCATTTGGGGAAGATTCCTCAGGGGCATGGTAATTGCTGTCTTTTGGAACCTGATAATCTATTTTATATTATCAGTATATTTTTATCAGGATTTAGAATCAGAAATCATTACTTTTATTTCTTGTAAAGGGAAAGGGGAATAATGCAAAGCATATATAGTTATACATATGCACCGGAATGTCATTAAGATGAACCGGGTTTATATTTTCAGTTTTTTCCCCTGTTTAGCAAGGGGGTTATTAAATATATTTCAATGTAACATTTAAGCATCCTATTATATTTTTTATATGATATATTAACCTTATTTTAGATTTTATATTATTTTTCTCCTTTACAGCACTGAAAAGGATGATTCCTGATTTTCAGCAACCGTTTTAAGAACTTTGGGGCCATCAAAACAAAAATGCAGCAACTAAAATCTACCACTACCTTTAATTTTCAAGAAATTGAACCACAAATTCAACTGGGAAAAAGGTGACATTTTAAACCAAGCCAAATACACCAGTACCAGGAAATATCTAGAAGCCTGGCATTCTGACCAACCAGCCATCATAGTGAAATAAGCTCATTTATATACCGTTCAAACGATACAACCAAAAGTGAAAGAAGGAAACAAGCATTTCATAGCACATTAAACTTCAAAGTTGAGGGCCATCACTATAAAAACTCCATAGCTATTTATGATTACTTTTGCTGATGGCAGCGCCTCCCCCAGAGTGAGGAATTGATTTTCCTGAAAACTCTGGAAAATCTATGTAGTTGATGTGCTGGAATCTGTACAAGCTGTTTGTGATAATGAAAAAGCTTTCCCAGGCACATATTGTACTTTTGTTAGATCAGAATCTTGATACAATAATCTCCATATTTTAAAACAACTTAAATGATGTAAGTTGATCTACTTGTTTAGCTTTCATTCATTAAGAATAACTATGCATACAGCATATCTATTCCCTTCCTCCTCCATCTGCAATTAATCCTATATTAAGGTTTCTTTCTTAACCTGCCAATGGATAGGAATTTAATATTTATATCTTACTATATAACTATGAAACTGCATAGAAAGAACATTTTGCTGGTGCTAGAAAAAAGAGCAGCTGATATCTGCTTAAAGAAGGCCCCTGGCTAGTTTAAAAATGCTGGCAGGCAACTGCTAGGAAGAGGTTTAGTACCAAATTCTTTCTTAAAGGCACATGAGGTCAAAGACAATCCATTTGAGGTACCTGTAAGTAGGTAGCAAGTTACATAGCTTTCACAAACCTGGAATGGGTCTACTAGCAACTGTACCATGCCAGTTGTAAATTGGTATGTTTGATCAAATCAATCTATCAATTTGTCTGTCTGTTTGTCTGCTTGCCTACCTGCCATTTGATTTCTGTGGGCAATGTGACATCTAGAAGAACAGTTATAAAAGATGGCAACAAACATTAAGCATGTACACAGAGGAAACTTTTGGGGATGTTTAGACTAAATAAAGGAAGTTTTCAATTTACAATACTTTGTTTAGTGACCATTCAAAGTTACCGTACTGAAAAAAGTGATTTATAACCGTTTTTCACACTTAGGAATGTTGCAGTGTCTCCATGGTCACGTGATCACAATTTGATGCTTGGCAACTGGTTCTTATTTATGACAGCTACAGTATCCTGGGGTCATGATCCCCTTTTGCGACCTTCTGATGAGCAAAGTCAATGGGGAAGACGGATTCACTTAACAACTGTGTTACTAACGTAACGACTGCAATGTTTCACTCAACAACTGTGGCAAAAAGGGTCGTAAAATGGGGCAAAACTTAACAACTTAAATTTTGGGCTCAATTGTGGTCGTAAGTCGAGAACTACCTGTATTGTAAGAAATAAAATTAATAATATTTCTGTAGTACATTTCAGACAACTTCAAGTGCTATGTTCATATTATTTTCTTAATATAATTCTGTGTAAAAAATATCAGAATAGCATATAGCCAGAAGGTGAAACAAAAAGGCAGTAACCAATACAACATTCAAACCAGGATGCGAAGTACTACAGTGCAATAGTAATATTTTTTAGCAGAATTGTAATTCGGTTTTATTTTTCATATGACCCTGAATGCTTCAAAAGAGAAAAGTCAAATAAATTTTGTATTCATACCCTTTATCAAATAAAATAATTAAGAAAAATAAAGAATATCGTTATATTTTGATCCCCGCCCCTGGCTAAAAAAACAGTCTAGTATTGAGCTGATTATAGAAATATATCAGTTCTATCATATAATAGAGAAGGATTACATAGAAAAAGGGACTGACCAAACTAAGCATATTAGTCTTTTGCATTGTTTTATATCATCATGTAAACTTCACTTCCACAATCACTAAGGAAAATAATTCACTGCTTATACAAGTGACATGAAGATTTAATTGATGCTGCAAGAGACATTAACATGTATTCTACACATTGCTTTCTGTAACTGTAGTTTGATTTATATCAATGTTTAAGTAACTCTTTAGTGATGTTGCAGTGCTAATCTAGGAATGCATTCAGTTCCATTTATTGTTTTAAATGTGCCAATATTCAATGTGACACATTTAAGTAAGGCATGTTGGTGGCATATAAATTTTAGAATAAATAAGAATTAAAGAAAAAAAATCACAAATCAAGACTCATCAGCTGACAGCCAGAATACCTGGGTCTGGGAATAGATTCTGTTTTCTTGGTTCTGGGAGAGGGAATGCTGAGCGTGCCATGACTCAGAATGATGGGTAGGTGAAAATCCTCTGTCCTCAGCCACTCTGAAGTCTGGGGCCACCCGCTGCCATAAATCAATCAGTCAGTCAATCATTTATTCCAGTGAGATTTCTTTTTTTCAAACAGAAATATAGAAATATGGGAACTAGGCTATATTTTTATACAACTGTAACCATTTACATTATAATCAGAAATAGATTACATTGATAACTACTGATTCAGACCTATTCCAAAGCAGAGAAAATGCAGTGCAAACTGTTCCCAACAAAAGACTCTATTCAAAGCAAAACAAAAACCTTAAAATTAATAATTGCACATTATTCTCTTTCTACAAGTGGATGGTGATGATTTAGTGGCTACCCTTATGGCACAGAATTACGTCTATTCTCCCCCCCCCCCCCCACTCCAATGATTTCTTCAGTAAGGCATGATTCTTGCACTGGGCAATTGCTTCTTTCTTTTTTTCAGGAGAAGCAGGTGAAATAATGATAGTTGGGAATGAATGTTTGGAGTCAGTGATGGACTAAATCAGGGAAGGTAACTTTGAGGGGAGGTAACTTGTGGTCTTCACATTTTGGCAGCAAATTACATTACTCTTGACAAGGAAAGTATCTGATGATAATAATAATTTCTTTAATTTATACGCTGACAATTCTCAGTAACTCTGGGTGGTTGATAATTGGTGATAGAAATCTTGTCTTTTTATGTATCATGGCTAGGGTGACACAAAGCAAATTGTTAAGTTTGATCCTTGCTGTCTCCAGTTGCCAGGGTACTGTTTGTGACCCCCAACTTTCTTTCTTCTTCTTCTGAGCAGATGGGCTTAGTTCCAGACATACTGTGAAGAGGTGACCCAACAATATATTCAATTTCTGAAGTCTATGTAGGGCCCAAAGGTTTTCTAAATTATATCAAAGGCTGGCACTTTGCTTTACATTACAATTACTCTTCATTTAATAGATTTTACTAAAAGGATCTAAAATTGAGGTATCTTTAGCTGCTTTACCTGTCCCAAATGGTGAGCAAGCTTATGTTCAGTCCAAATACAAGGAAGATGACATTTCTGAGCAATCAGACTGACCTTCATATTATTGATACACTAAACTGGACAAGGTTGCATTTGTTCTAAAGTAGGAGTGTCAAAGCGGCGGCCCGCGGGCCAGATGCGTCACGCACAGGCCACGCCCACCCCAGCTCTGCAAAGGGAAAAACGTCATGATATGTCATGTGACAGGCAACATGACTGAGCGAGTTTGACACCTGTGTTCTAAAGGATCACTTTCACAGTCTGAAGTTGATTCTAAACCCATCACTTCATCTTGGTCCCAATATTGTATCCTAGCTAGTGCTTCTAAAGAATGTGGATTTAATCATTGTTATATAAGGCTTTCATAACATCCAGGCTGGCTTATCGTAAACCATACTCTATATTCAAATTCATTCAAAAATTACACTGAAGCCTGCACATAATTCAAAATGAGACGGCACACTTTTTAAGTTGAAATATGTATATTGAAAAAAAGGGAATGGGGAAAGTAAAGAAAATGAAAGGACAATGTTGCACAGAAGTAGCAATCAAAGGAACCAAAGATCCCTAGCACCATTAAAATAATATGACTGTTCCTGTTGAACTATATCAAATGTTAAGTGAATGTTGAAATGAGAAATGTTCAATGCAAAGGCTTTAAAAACTTTTTGCTACTAAAATATTGCTAACATAGTCAAAGATGACAATAATTAATGATATGTCAGTCATGAATAAATGATATCCAGTCAACCCTACAATTGAAATTATTCCTACTGTTCTCAGCACAGAAGCTGAGGAACCAGTCTGCCTCAATCAACTGGTATTTGTCTTCTTCACAACTGAACATGCCAGTCACAACTTTTGCACATTTCCCTTCTTCAGTCTCATTTATAGGAAGATCATTGGAGAATAGAGTAACTTCTTTGTTTATTGAACTTTAAGGATCAAGAAACAAAAGGATCAAATAATGAAAACAAATCCCACTCAGTTGTCTGTTCATATAGATGATGCAGTGTGTGTGTGAGAGAGAGAAAGAGAAGTTTTAAGAAGACAGTTCAAGACATGAAAACAACAATATCCTCCCATATTCTGCTTTAAACAGCAGCCAGTCAGATGACCATGAATGGTGCATAGATAGGCCATGATGGTAACAGACTTCCACACTTTTTTACTCTCAGCATTTCATAATTAGAACTGTGTTATTTCTAAACTTGAAACTTCAGTGTAGCTATCAAAACTATCAATCAAGTTAAATCCTTTTTGGAGCCATCTACTTTTGATGTATTGAATTCAAAACATTATATATTGCTACATTTTTACATTTTGCCTAAATATATTTACCCATTTTTGTTTTCTATTCTTGTTATATAAAGGAAAACCAATCAAATTACTCATTTCTTCACCATATTATCGACAATCTTATAATTCTTCATCAAAAAGACAAACCTTTGGGTTCTTTTTTATACACTGTCAACTGATCTTTTTTTAAAAAGGGGGGGGGGCAATATTCTACAGGTTGCATTGCATCAATTTCTGTAACATGCACACTGTTGTGATATATGCCATCTTACTTAAAATCTATAAGCACCTAATACTGAATCTTCCTTTATGGCATAAAGGTGTCTTTCTATTGTCGGCAAAGGGGCATCACTTGATACATCCCAGTGAGTTAGGTCCTCTAAGATTTTACATTTAGATATTACAACTAACTGATATCTTATGAATGAACATATGAGGTTAGCAGTTTGCACTTATTTTCACTGAATCTTGGCTGGCATTTTGCTATTCAAAATAATTTACACATTCTTTTTGCACATAAAACTTCTTTGGCTGATGTACATGCTTAAAAAAGGAAACAGAATCTTTATTTGCTATTTCTCTCTCCACTCACCAATGTGGCTCTCCCATCTATAATATTTAGGATCTGCACCTTTTTTTCTTGTGAAAACATGCCCCAATATAGTTAAAATGAAGCAAGCTTATTCTTTAATGCTGATGTGTATATGAGACAAATGAGACATTGATTAATTAATTAATATAACCATTTTTGTTAAAGATTTTAGGAAATCCCCAGTTTGTATCTTTGAAACAGTGTGTATTTGCAGAATAGTCCAATTATTCTGGCTGTAATTGAACATTCAAAAATATCATAATGGAATACAAGAATGAAATCATTGCTGCCTTCAAGCACGAGATCAATCTTTCAGTAATTTTTTTATCTATTGGCAACAACATTACACAACTGCTATTAAAGAAGAAAAAATGATTTTAAACGTTATACCATACTGTAGAATTTTTAGAGATGGGCAAACTTGTCTTACTCACATTGGAGATACTCTAGAATAACTTACGTTAATAAAAACTATCAAAAACAAGAAATTCTATTTCTCTTTTAGCCAACCTGAAGCTCTAAAAAGCAATCTATTAGCAAAGCAATGGAGATGATTCTTCATTGCTTTCCTTACAGCTTCCCATAGTAAAATAGATGGGATGGGAAATAGAAGGGAAAAAAATACCAATGATTCAGATTTTTAAAACAGAGCCCAAACATAGATCAAACAATAGAGAGTAAATTCTGTGGGTCATTCAATCCTATGAAGTACCTTACAAGGATGACTTTGGTTCTATGGCACTGTGTAGAAAATTTATTGCCATCCATCTAAGTTATATTTTAGAAATTATATTAAAAAGCATAGATCCCAATTAGAATGCCATTTAGCATATGTTTAAGATTATTTCTGAGATCCTTAATAGCACCCACGTCTCTGGTCAGTTTGTTGGTTATATCAACTTTTGTAAGATATGCTTTGTACTACTATGCACAACGAGAACTCATTTTTCTTTGTTTCTTTTTTTAAGAAGATAATGATCCTAACCATACCATATATTTAAACTTAACTTTCATTTTTTATAATTTATCTTTGAGTTTCATAAGGACAAGGCTTCAGGTTTTACAAAAAAACCCATTTTAAAATCAAACTATCACATCTGCCTACAAAATGTGAGCTGGTACCTTCCTGTATCCACATATGGCAGACTGAAATTAGGAGGAAAGACTGGAAGAGGCAGTAACATTATCAGGGCATTTTAAATGTTAGATTCATTACTAATCTTCATTCTAAAGTTCTATCCAAGAAATGGTAACTTACTAAAAGGTAACATAACAAAATAAGTCTTACCTTTTTGTATAGACTTCTCAGATCTCTGTATTGCCACATGCTATTTAAGACCTGAGATGCTGCCTTCACTACTTTTGGTGAGTGCCTATTAGGGAATTAAAAAAAAAGACACATATAAGGAACTGAAAAGCACTCATTGGTTCAATCAATATTATATGACAGTGTTTCTCAACTCAGCAACTTTTAAGATGTGTGGACTTCAACTCCCAGAATTCTCCAGCCAGCTGCAGCAGCATGGTTGGCTGGGGAATTCTGGGAATTGAAGACCATACATCTTAAAGTTGTTGAGGTGAAGATATCCTGTTATATGCTTTGGAAAATAGAACAGAACTTCTTTTGAAAATCATATTTATTAAAGATTGAGAAAGGATGAGCTTGTTAGCCCTAACCCTAATCATAATGTGGTCTGTTTTTCAATTAGTGTGATACTTGAACTTGAGAAATACTATATTGTCATTTTATAAATACTCATTTGTTTTACCTGTGCCTTATACTTGTGTCAGAATCCATCATCTTAATGCACTCTTGTTTATTCCTGGTTTGCATTTATGGTCTTCCCAAAATTTGTACTTGGATAAGAAAGAGGCAAAACAAGCCACGAATGAACTAGCAACCTGATTCATTTGCAACAGAGTCTGATGTTCAACAAACTATGGTTGATTTGAATAGTGCTTTGCTTTTCCTCTGGGTAGAATGTGAGCTCAAAGTTCTTGGGATTTATTTTGACTTTTTGAGCATCCTACCTGGCTTATTTTTATTCTTTGATGATCCTACCTGGCAGTAATAATAAGTTTAGTTATAACTGTGACATTTCAGAATTATGTAAATATTATTTACTCTGGGTATTTGCTTCTAACCTTGATGTATTCCACTCTTTTTTGACCATCACAGGCAGCAGCCCAAATATATTGGGAATGGATTACTTTTTAAACATTTTCTTGAACAAATCTGTTATTATGAATAGCAGCTGCAATTATCAGTTTCTGGGTTGCTGTCCAGAATAGATAATAATTAATCTGCAGGTTTCTTTTGATAAATCAATATAATGCCACAGATCCAAATTAAGACTACACACACCACACACTTTGATGTGAGATTGCTTATTATCTTCTACCCATCTGCCATTATCTGTGAAGTTTTCTAACACACAGTATAAATGATTTCCAGGAAATCATTAGTGTCAACTATAAATTACAGATAACAGGCAGAAGATGATTGGCAAAACATACTTGTCTCCTTTACTTTTGGAAATGCCAACAAGTTTCTCAATTCCTCCTGCATCTCGTAAGGCCTTGGCATTTTCCATATTTTTTGTGATGACTTCATGCAAGGTGCAGCAAATGGCAGTTACGGTATCATCAGACATGGTCTTGCTTGCTGAATTGTTACTGTTGTTACCTCCTGGAAGCCGGTGAACCAGGTCCCGCATGGCATACTTGCCTTTTGGAAAGGGGGAAAAATGATAGAAGCAGTCATATAAGTAAAAAAACAAAAGAACAGAAAAGCACAGGAAAAAATGTCACATGATCCAATGATTTCTGAGTGTTTCATTTTGCAGGTTAGCATGTGGTTGTTTGTTTATTTAGCAAACTCTTCCATGTAATTAGTAGTATAATAAGTAAAAGAGAACCATTATATTTTAATTTTTGCTCACTAACTCTACATGTCCTTATTTCTTTCCTGGGCATATTATATATCCCTGATGGAGAACAGGGAGGAGAACCATTTATATTGAAAACAATGTCAGGTGAACACTCAGTGGTTGAGTTGTGCAGCAAAATAATACTACTTAAAAAGTAACTAAAATGTTGCTTCTGATTGGTATTAAAGTGTAAATAGGTGTTTGATCTAGAAAGAATTAATCTCTCCATGACCACATGTGTCAAAGCAACTTAAAAAAAAGTCTATCTCTCAAAATAACTGTATTTCCCCACCTCTGTAAATAGAGAATCTTTAGTGAAAACATTTCTACCCTGGTTTTCTTTCCCAATAGGCGCACAAATCTAACCCTGCAAAAAAACTATAATCTGACATGAATGTTACTAAACACATATGATCTATGGAGACCTAGTTAATGATAAACTGTTTTTACAGGTTTGTTAGTGAAATTACTTGTAAATAACATTACATGAGACAATGATTATATGCTGGTAGCTATCAAACATCGGCATATATTCTCTGTCTCAAATAAATGATCCAGAAATAATTATATTGTGAAGCTTTCTGCTTGGAATTTGGCTGGTTAATTCATACTAATAAACTGTAGTTGATTTATTAGCTATATATTAGCATCTAAACATCAGTAATGATATGCTCTGTCATAATAGTGCAATAAGTATATAATTTAGCAATCTGTATATAGATATAATAGATACAGATATATGTATAGCCACTGGTATTGTTAGTTAATTCAAGATTTAAAAGGTCAAAAGTCAGCAAATATTTAATGTGTAAACTTATGTACGGAAAAGCCCCCACACTAATTGATACACATACACATTGCTTGTTACATCTCCCCCCCCCCCAAAAAAACCCCCATAGCTCAAATTATTGCGTTTGTGTTTTCATTTTGGAAGGTATGAAAAAATAGACGAAGATAAATCATGAGACATGTCATCTCTTCCCAATAGAGAACAACTATGCTATTAGCAACAGTGATCCACAAATTCTGGGCAATTTCATTGAGGAAAACATTCTTTAATAGATAAGCCTCCTTCCTATGAAATGCACATACACATTTGTGTATACTTTACTCAATATTAATAAACTCAAACATCAAGCAATATAGCCATATCTTACTTCAAATGTGCTAATACCAAAAGGATTCCCCACAGAAATAAAATGAACTTTACTTTTGTCTAATATTATTTTCGATATAGTGGAATAAGTAACAGTTTTTCAAGAAATCACAATATTTAGCAGACAACTACAGCCATAAGTCTTATATTGAACATACTGGTACTTTGAAAACATAAGTTCCTTGTACAAAATAACTAATAGAGTAACTGGCTAGCATTATCCCTATAACTTAGATTGTATAGATGAACATTTAATTATCAATAAAAGGACTTTTACTTGTCCCTTCAGAAACTTTGAAAGGTCAATAGATTTCTTTGTTTTGGCATGAAGACAAGATTTCTTTTAAAAAACAGCGGAAAGAGGTAAATCCAGATTTGGTAACGGTTTTTAGCTTTGAGGTTTTTGATCAAAAGTTGGAGTTGGCTTTTGAATAGTGTATGCATCCATGTGTATATACACATAAACACACATGCATACATATATGGGGAAATATATGGTATGTGTGAACACTACTGTCTTGAGTACTGTAGGTAAGAAGAGAAAAAGTACTAGAAGCATATAAGACAATGGCCACAGAGCAGACTTTACATATTTAAAAAGGCAAAGAATCCCTATGAATTTAGAAGTCTCTCTATTAGCTTAGTAATGATAATCGCAGGTAAACTTGCCATTATATTAGTGGCATAATTCTGTCCTGTACACCATTACAATACTGTCTTTTATTTATTTATTTGTTTGTTTGTTTGTTTGTCAAATATGTACAAGGTAGCAGGAGTAGGTATAAACATAGACATAAACAAAGGAAGTAAGTACAGAAAAATGGGGACAGTAGGACAGGAACGGTAGGCACGCTGGTGCGCTTATACATGCCCCTTTACAGAACTCTCAGGAATGGGGTGAGGTTCACAGTAGACAGTTTGAGATTGAAGCTGTGAGGGTTTGAGGTTGTAACAACAGAGTCAGGTAGAACATTCCAGACATTGACCATTCTGTTGCTGAATTCATATTTTCTACAACCGAGTTTGAAGCAGTTTACCTTGAGTTTGTATTGTTTGTTTGCCCGTGTATTATTGTGGTTGAAGCTGAAGTAGTCATTGACAGGTAAAACATTGTAGCTGACTATTTTATGTACTATGCTTAGATCGGACCACAGGCGGCCCACTTCCAGATTGTCCAAGCCCAGAATTTCAAGCCTGGTGGCATAAGGGATTCTGTTGTGAGTAGAGGAGTGAATAACTCTTCTTGTGAAATACCTCTGGACCCGCTCAATTGTGTTAATGTCCGATATGCAGCAGAGTGGATTCCAGGCGGATGAGCTGTATTCAAGAATTGGTCTGGCAAAGGTTTTGTATGCCCTAGTTAGCAATATAATGTTACCGGAGAAGAAGCTTCACAAGATTATGTTAACAACTCTTAATGCCTTTTTGGCAATGCTGTTACAGTGAATTTGGGGGCTTAAATCAATTGAGATGAGTACTCCTAGGTCATATTTCCTTGTGTTTTTTGAATGCTTTCTTTCGATAATTAGTTCAGTTGTGTTTCAAATAGACCTACCCTTTTATTTTTAGTAATCAGCAAAAAACAAAAAAACCACAACCCAATTAATCTGAAGATAGTTAATTTCATCTGAAATATCAATGTAACAGCCGATTATTTTAATGCACTATAATTTTCAACCAGTTTCTTTCCCATTCTGTTTTGGCTGATAAAGCATCCACAGAAAATACAAAGCTCAGAAGGGTATTATTATCTCCCCTGACATTTAACATTTTTCTTTAAAGATATTATCTATATTATGGTAACAAATTGAGGCTGTGATTAAAGATCATAGCTCCACAGTGGCTCTTTGCAGAAATCTATGAAAAGATATCTCAGATCTTTGCACTCTGGAAGGAAATGGAAGAAAAGGTAATCGAAAATGATTATGCTCAGTATCACAATCAGGATCTTGAGTCACTAAGTACATAGTTGTCACTGAAAGTTGGGTATGAATTAGGACAGAGGATATTCCTGCTTTGCACCTGAAGCAGAATGCTGTAGCACAGTAGAACTGTGTAAGGAGCTCTTAAGCTACATGTGGAAGCCCAAGGAGGCCAAGGTATAAGATGCTGAATGCTAATTGGATTTTGCTGGGTCTGATTCCAAATGTACCAGAAGAGAGTTCATGAAGAGGTCTATGGCACAAGCAGGCAAATCCTTAAAAGCATTTCCCCTATGGCAACAGTCGAAAAATAAAAAATAAAAAAGACAGCATTGTGAAAGGGAACTTTAGATGGTAATAAAGCATAAGTAGGGACAGAAAAAAATTGCGTCAAAAAATATAAGAATTATATTTATTAAAAAAGTTCTGTGCAGGCTGTTGCTTGCCTGAAAACAAAATATTTCCTTAACAATTTATTAGGATAGGAAAGTTTGAGTTATCAACCTTCCTTTTAGGAGGAACTGGAAACCGTAACAGCCTTGAGAGTATCAGTCTGATTAATATGATACATGCTTCAGAGAGACAAGAAAATAACTCCTGTGCAAGAGAAAGAGGCTGAAGAGCAGAGCCTTCTGCTTAAGTTGTCAATACATCAGTTGCCTTGATGGCCAGTAAGTTTATAAGGTGCAAACGGCTGGTAGTGCTCAGATATTGACTCTTTCAAGAAGCGCGTGCAAAGAAAGACTGGAGTGACATTTCAAAGACTTGAAATGTCAGCAGCCTAGACTTGGGTAAACAGCTTTCCAACTAAAGGTAGCAGGGAGTTGTATACATCTTGGGACTTGACACCCTCCCCCCCCAGTTTAGTCATAATGCAGAATGTAATGCAGTCCATTTCAATCAGACCATAACTTGTGCAATATAAGAGACACTTATATTTCTGTAATACAGTCCTTAGCACATTGCACTAATGAAGTTCCTCCTTAATAAGACATGAAAATTTACTAAAAACTCCAACTTCACATTGGTTCTGCAATGGATTGTGATCAGTGGCAATTAGTCGTGTAGGCAAGTTTTAGCAGACAAGTCCTTCCAGAAAGGTTTAATTGAAACAGCCTAAGGAACAGCTAGTTCACTTAACAAAAACAGTACCATTTTTCCTGAAGCAAGTAAGGCCACTTCAAACAGTTACCTTATTCACATTACTAGTTTCCAGAGAAGTGGTACTGCAGTGGATTGGGCAGTGATTTCATGGTGGAGCCTGGACTGAAATGGTCGTGGTGTCTTTTCTCCTAGCCTCCTTACTCACTTTCTGGCTGTACACAGTGTATCTGAGAAAGCACATTCTTTCCTCTCTCATTTTTTGTCTTCTGCCTCATTCCAAAATTTTGCACAAAGTTGAATTGCAGATGACTACTGCATTTGGGAGATACTAGAAAAGGTAAAAAAACCGACAACCCTGAGTCTAAAATTTGGAAGGTTTTGGAGTTTGAAAAACAACAACAACCCAATATTATTTAATATTTTACACAAGGTTCATGATTCTCATGTTACTTTCTTCTGTAGTAAAGGATGGAATGGAAAACAACACGTATTTTTTGAAATGGACAAGATTTTAAATCTATGCTTAAGGATGCCAAAGCTGACCTGCAAAAATCCAGATGGCCACTAGATGGAGATAAAGATGGAGGATGGACTCGGAAGACTAAAACTCGGAAGA